TATAACGGTACCCCCCTTGAATAATATTATTTTCCACCCTGTACAATAAAAGGGCCCTATAAAGATCGATATGCCACGTAGGATGATCCGTTTAGGCTGAAATTTTCAGAAGTGAATGATCATAGTGAGAAACACTTTTAGTAAAAATTTCAGCCCGATATGTCAAATTGGACGGAACTTCTGGCCTATTTATAGTCCATTTTTAGCCTGCAAGAGAATCCTTATAAATTCCCTACTACAAGAGATAGAGGGCTCAGGATGGTCTCAAATTAAAGCTAACTGCAATGCGTAATTTTTTATTGGATAGAATTTTGAAATTGGTTTCCATTCATTTTTTATGATCGTTTCAGTACACATGAGGTCGAAATAGCCCAAAGAAATGCTACTACATGATGTTTAATCTCGCTTTTCTTATTATAGAAACTAAATATAAAAAATCTGGTCAGATAACATTTTATTCTCGCTTAGATCTTTAAAACAAAAAAAAAATATTGGTATTATCTTGAATCATGCCGGAGTTATTTCCATTTCTCTGATCAAAAAGCATGTTTTTAAGAAAAACAGTAAATAAGCTTAGAAATTGATTTTGTTATCTAAATCCAAAAATAATGGGATATTGATAGTATTTATGGGGAATTTTTGAAAGCACACAATAGATAACATAACCTAGCTCCCTCCGATCTGTACTATGTCATATAAAAATGTCTATTCCATTCTGATAGAAGTAGCAAAATAGTGTTCTCAAAAATATCCAAAACAGTCAAAATCTCTTCAAAAACCGAGTAATGAGCTGGAAATCCCCTACAGAGGTCTCTTAAAATTTGATCTTTTTTTTAAAGCCTATATATACTCTGAAAGAGAAAACTTCGCTGCATCTTCCTGTGATAAAAACTCAATTTCCATCACATTACAAAAAAATGGAATTTGTGAAGGGGCGAGCCCCCACAAGATTGACTTAATTCCTCAACGATAGTCTATGAGGAAGAAAGCTTCATGTCATCGAGCTTTACAAATTGACATAAAATCAATTTAAAACAGAGGCTGACACTTGCAGATATTCTCTGGTAAGTTTGATCTTTGCTCAGAATTCTTCTACTTATCTTTGAAACTTGAATCAGAGTTAACTAAACGTCTCATTAATAAGATCAGATTTCATACAAACGATTTTTGAATTATAAATTTTATTTTTTTTTGGAATTCAATCTTGAAACTGATATGCTTTCGAAATTTTAATTAATGGCTCTTTTACACCTATGCCAATAAGAAGTTTGAGTAAACATTGACTCTGACATATTTCTTAAGACAATGTGACGATACTCTAATAATAATCAAGTCATAATTGGTAGCTATTTGGAGAGTATGAGCTTCCGTATTGGTTTGAAACCAACTCGACGACTTATACTTGGAATAAAGATGGAAATAATATTTTTTTCTTAATAAAAGTTAACAATAAATTTCAAGCAAAAGAACAAAGTACATTAATCATGAATAAATTTCAATCCTTGAACGAATGTTGCAAGTTCTTTTTTTTTCAGCCCAGGAAACCTTTCTTGTTTTTTTTTGTTTTTTATTTGAAAAACTAACAAATAAAAGACCTCAAATATTCGATCAGATTCGTTTCATCAAGAGTTACAAAAGTTCACATTTCATCTTAACTAAATATAAATGAATTGTTAAATTATTTTTCAAAATTGATTTTTTAATATTTTAAGAAGTTGAAGCTAACATAAAGTTGATCTCATCAAAATAGTTTAGAAGTTATTCATGTTACGAGTTTTCTCTCAACATATGAATTTTTAACTTTTTTTTAAAGAAATTATAATTTTAGAATTTCTTTTATGCTTAACGAAGGTTATGTAATGTTGTTTAGATAAGTAAAAATAGTTCATTGATGAAAATTTAACTATTGAAATTTATACAAATGATTTCTATAAGATTAAATATTATTAAATCAAGAACCTATTCATTTTCTTGACTTAGAATTTAAACCTATTGATGAGAAAATAATGAAAAAAATTTCATTTATATTTCAAGGAATTTTTTCAACATATTTTGATAAAACAATGTTATAAGAAAAACAAAATTAAGATGATCGAATTTCAATCATTAGTTTTTGTTTCTCTTTTTTTTTTCTTTACATTCGATTCTCAACCATTCATGTTCTTTTATTATCGACATACAATTCCTGTTGTTCTTTTCTTATTATTATTCTATGAATAAATTAATAAATGAAATTTCTTTTTTCTTTTTTACATGAATATAAACATTGTCATATATATGTTTTATCAAAGCATAAATACAATTTGCACATAGAATCTATCGTATAGATATCATCGAAAAAAAATGGTATGATAGTCTTATAGAATAATTCATATATGAATTATATTTATTTCAAAATAGAATATAATACAATCAAATAATAGTTGGAATATTCCTGTTCAGAATTCATTAACAAATTTCAATATATTACGAGAAAATAATCCATTACAAATTATTGCTGATACAAGATTTCATACGATTATAGTACGAGCTACAAAACAAAATAGTATAGCACCATTTTCACCTACACAAATGATACGTTCTGAACGTAGTTCATGGTCATCTGCTTCAATTGTTAGTAGTATTGATTTAAAATCACCTGAACCAATATTACATACTGAAGTTTATCAAAAGTAATTTATATTTGATTTCTTTTCTTTTTATTTAAATATCAATATATACAATTCAGATTAGAAACAATGAATAAAACATCAAAAAATCGAAAATTAGTAATTATTTTGATTATTTTGCTTACACTATTAATTTTAATTATTATTATTATTGTATTAACATTAACATTAATTAAAAGTAAATGTTTATATTTAAATAGAAAATTTGTTTTTTTTTTTTCATTAATCTTTATTTATTTATAGATTCATCAACGGAAACTACAATAATTACAAGTCCAACGACAACGAAAATTTAAATATTTGAATTACAAACGAAATGAAAGTTTTATTTTTCGTAAATGATATATGTTTTAAAATTTTATTTATTTATTAACAAATTAATAAAACAAAAATAAACAGTATTAGATATTCATATCGCACCTACATTCGTAGTACTATCGGTATACTATGGTACTCTCAAAAAAATGATGGTAGCTCTTACCATTTACAGCTCCAACTATAAACGATTATAGAGATTGTTTTCTATCCAGATTTATCGAGAAAAAAAACAAGTTTCAGAATATATTTTACCAAAAATTACTTTTTCAGTACCATCTATCATGAAAAATTATCTCATAATTCGAGCCGATATGTGCTCTGTGGCTACTACGGGCGGTTCAGACGCATCAATACGATCAGCGTGCGTCAAAGATCGATTCAATTCTGTCATTTTCAACAGGCTTCAAAAATATTTATCCATTTTGATACAATACACTATGATAGAATATTTTCAAAAAAACTGAGAGTTTTTGTCGGATTCGAATCATATGGATAATGATTAGATATTCCCAACTTAAAATGAGCGGTGATCCGAGATAGCTGATATTGAATGAGGAAGAGGTGACGGCACTGTGTCTCGTCACTTCTTTTTGGTTTAATTTTTTATAGGATGTAGGTGTGTTAGTCAATGTACTCTTCATGCCATTCACACCCACACCCTACTTTTTCTATTTCATTAAAAAACATGTCCTGTTATTATTGTCAATATAGCAATTATACTGTTAATAACCTGGTTTCGTTGTTGTTTTTGTCATTCGAAGGTATACAATTTGTCTGTTAGTAATATTCCTACATAAATTCTATCTACTACTAATTATGATTCTGATAATTCATCGTCATCATCAATTATATACACAATTTTTTCCTATTTCTATTGCAGAATCTTCGTTGAATCCAAAAGTAATGACTGATGATTATACATCTTATTAGAATTCTCAAGTTTGTTTTCTTGAAGAAAAGATAATTATCAAAATGTTACTTTATATTATCAACAAATTGACATTATTTATTTACATATCAAATTATTCGTGATCTTTCTCATCAATATGTCAACAATAATTATATCCACAATGGTCTGATTGATAGTGTTATTGCTATATTTTATGCATTTTATTTTAATTGGCAATATTTTAATGAAAGCCATTAAGACTTTTATTTAATATTCAAGGTATTGCATTTATTCGAGAGAAAATAGCATCTTCTTTTTTCATTTGATGCTTGGCAAATATCCATCAGTGGTATGTATCGACCTAGTATCGTGATTAAACCCTTTATCCATATTGAAAATCAACGTTATTTCATTCAAGTTGCTAATTGTTTATCTCAAAGCTTCAAGTCATTTATTCTTGTCAACATTTAGATTTTGTTGAACTACACTGATAATGTTATTTGCGTACTATCTCTCATGTTATTATTAACACCATCATTATTATCAATAGTGCCCTCGAATATGAGTAACTCGTCTCATCAAGATAATTGTTCTATTGAATTCAAGACATTGTCTGATGACAACTGCTATTTGTATTATAATTTTACTTGTCCAGTAACGAAAAATTCCATTTTATAATATTTTCTTTTTATTCAAACATTACATCAAATACGCTATTGATGATACATCAACAACTAATTCATCTGACTATTAAACCAACTAAAATCATACTGATACGTTTCTTAAAATACACTAGACTGAATAGGGTGTGAGTGTGACTATAAGGAACATCAGCTCTCACATTCGCACCCAAGGTCAAAACATTACTTTGCATCATACTATTGTTGTAAACATAATCAAAGATCGAAAAAAAAATTATACATCATTGATTGTTTTTTTTTCATTCTAATATGTTTACAGAATTTTCGATCATGCTCACGGTGTTTTTGTGCTTTTAGTGACTAATGTTTGTTCGGCAAGAATAAAATAAATAAATACCTTTTCTACTTTCAGTTTCAAACGATTCTCTATTCATATGTCGGCAAAATTAAATACACCACGTATGTTTTGCTCTGAGCAACAATGTAAGAGACCAGTCGAGAAATTTGTTCTTGTCTGGTTTGAAAATGAAGACGACAGCAACTCTATAATTACTCAACTGCATCATTATGTATATGACATTCGAATGTTCATAGATCCTAATGAATGCATTAATTTTATCTCAGAATTTACTACTGATCAAAAACTTATTCTTCTTGTGAATGTAAACAGTGTTATGAACTATGACATAGTCATATACACTGCTGAGCCATTTGCTCAAGTATCGATCATTTACATTTTATGCAAAGAAAAGTCAATACGAAATGAACTCAAACAATTCTATGATCATCAGACAAAAATTCAATATATGCTTATGGATATGAAGTTCTTGAAAGATCATCTTAGTCATTTTGTGACGAATCATATAAATAATCAATGGATCAATTTTGAAATGATGAATATGACGTCAATCAACACAACAACGTCCGACACTTCACTAAACAAGTAAGATACATTTTTTATATATGCTCAATTATTTAAAGAATTTTTATTAGAATTCGAATTGACATCTACATACAAAATGGAAATGATTGATTTTTGTCGTGAGTTTTACGATGATAATTTATCTAAGGTGGTATTTATCAATGAACTTGAATGTAATCCTGAAAATCGATCATCTATATATTTCTATACTGTTGAACATTTTCTCTATCGAATACGTAATAGAACTTTACGATTATAAGAAATAGATAAACTCTATCATTTACGTTATTATATTAGACACAACTACACGAAGAACTCAAACGATTTCATAATCAGAACTGTCAATCAAAGAAATCAGTTTCATTTCTCTATCGTGGACAAGGAATACAAAGAGAAGAATTTGAAAAATTACAACATAGTGTAGGTGGCTTATTGTCATTCAATGCAATTCTATCAACTAGTACCAACTATGCTGTTACTCATATGTATGCAGAGACAATTCTTTCGGCTACAGATACATTAGCAGTGTTTATAGAGATTGATGTAAAAGTTGAAAATTTAGGAAATAACATTTTCGCTGATATTGGCCATTTGGCTCATTTTACTGACGAAACAAAATATCTTTTCTCGATGGGTACTATTTTTCGTATTACATCCGTTGAATAAGAATCAAATGCAATCTATTATGTGAAACTTATGTTAACAAATGATCATGATGAACAACTTACTTATTTAAAATGATTTATGGATACAAATCTTCATTTAACACATCATCGTAGTTCACTTTTTCTACTTGCTATTCTAATGAATGAAATGAGTCAATATTTATATGCTGAATATTTTTTCTCATTGTTACTAAAAGATGAAAATATCAAACATCAACCATGTGTGCTCGCTAACATTCATGGTAATATAGATTATATGTGTAGACAAAAAGGAGATTTACAAAATGCTTTTCATCATTGTGAATTTGTATTAAAACTTTATAAAGAAAATTCATCAAATGATAATCATCAGACAATTGCAACGTTTCTGGTGAATTTAGGAGAAATCTATATAATAAAAGGTGAATTCAATCGAGCTCTCATCAATTATGAACGTGCTTTAACCATTGATATAAATCCTACTAATAGCAAAAAACCTAATTTCGAATATATTTTCAATTGTTATAATCAATTAGGCATTATCTGTGAACGTACAGGTCGTTATGTAAAAGTACTTGACTGCTATGAAAAATGTTTACAAATACGTCTTGAAAATATGCCACGAAATCATCCTGATTTATTAATACCATATAATAATATTGCATTTCTTTATGATAGACTTAGTCAATCGGAAAAAGCAATTTATATCTATATGCGTATTCTGAAGATTAGCATCAGTTCATTCTCACAAGATCATCTGAACGTTGCTACTCTATATCATAATATAACTTGTAATCTTGAAGATCTTGGTCGATTTAATGAGGCACTTGTCTATGAATAGAAAGCTTTCGATATAGTCAAAAAATGATCGTTATCGCCAACACATGAGATCTTTGTAGGAAATAGCGAACATTTAGAACATCTTCAATGTATTATTATAAATTTTCATATGAATAAATAATCATCGATTAAGTTCATTACACTAAACTCGGAAATCGAGATTCAATTGAAAAAACTGTATGAGGTTAGAAGAAATTGATCGAGTATAGTTAACAAGTTTTTGTAGAATATAAAACTTTCGTCTATTCGAATTAAGAATATTGATTCAATAATAAACAAAGTAGAAACCACAGTTTGGGTGTGGGATTAGATAAGTGAACATTTTACTAACTTTTGATATTCATACAATGAACGGTATTGTAGATATACATTATATTTATAAAACTATTTATACGATTGACATGCATAGTGTCATATTAATCTATGATTTTATTCATGATTCAAATGAATTTGCACTTAATAATCCGTGGCATGTCAGAATATTTCTATTCTGACAAGTTGTCACTTCATAAATAGATTAAGTAAAACAAATGTTTTTATTCTATTTCAATCAAAATAACAAATTTCATCCTGAAATTTGAAGCAACAAGATAAGATATCTCGTTTATTATAAAATATAAATTTCAGAATTCTACACTATACGTATGGTAAAATTTTAGCAAGATAGAGTTTCGAAAAATTGCTTCTCATGTCCTAGAACGATCTGCTATCATCTTAAATATCTTCAATTAGAATTTTTATCATTTATAATTGATATTTAAACTTTTCGTTCGCTTACAAGAAGTTTTTTATTTTTTTTTCATTCTAATATTCTTACTTATTTCCACTTCTAACAACGAATAAACTATACTATTTAGAAAATTTAAGCATGTTCAGGAAAAACTTTTCATAGAGATTTTTCTAGCCTAGAGAGTACTCTACAAAATGTAAATGATGGTGAGCATAATAAAAATCTTTGTCTTTTTCTTTTTGTGTCACATTGCTAACGCTAATTAATCAATAATAATCTGCCGGAACAAGTGTCTATGCAGTTAAATTCTTCAAAATACATGTGTTATGACCAATCATATCTTCAAACATGATTCACATCTATTATGTTATGAAATAATAATTAAATAAAACCAAAAAAAAAAAAATCAATGTCTAGTCACATTAAAATTACTATTAAAATCAATTACAGTTATAAATCTTTACATTTCAGATGCAAGAATACGATATTCAAAGTTGAGTATTTTTCAATTACTAAAATTAGACACATCATAATTATTAATTCAGAAATGAATAAGACATTTACTAACATTCTTCGAAGATTAAAGTTTTTCATGAATGAAAATCTACTAACACTTAATAATATTATGAAAACATAAAAATTCAATGTTCTCTTGCCAAATATAACTAACCATAATTGAAATCATGTAGCTAGGCGTATTTTGTCAATCATTATGGATTCTTTTTTTGTTCTGTATAGATGTCACTATATATTTGTAAATATTTTTCTCTTTGCATAAATGCTTGAAGAAATAGTTCATTTTATGTTTTTCGTCTAATCGAAGGACATCGACCGGAGACATGGCTAAAATCATCAATTGAAATTTTGTGTATGTTTTCTAATATAGATTTTTTCATGGTCATTGGATTTTAAAAAAAAAAATAATATATTTTTTTATTTAGATCCTTTCTCTCTTCTGTGGTTTTTGTTTTTTTTTTGTTTCCATTTTCCATCGTACGAAGTCAATAAAATCTTATATCTTCAACGATGGAACAAAATCCACCAGGAACTGGCTCATCAATACATCTTTCAACTAAAAATGAATTTTTAATTGGTGGAAAATATCGTTTAGTACGTAAAATAGGTTCAGGTTCATTTGGTGATATTTATTTGGGTATAAATATAACAAATGGTGAAGAAGTTGCTATTAAACTTGAGTCAGTTAAAGCTCGTCATCCTCAATTATTATATGAATCAAAATTATATAAAATATTACAAGGTGGTATTGGTATACCACATATACGTTATTATGCTCAAGAAAAAGATTATAATGTACTTGTTATGGATTTACTTGGACCATCACTTGAGGATCTCTTTAATTTTTGTTCACGACGATTTACTATGAAAACTGTTCTTATGCTTGCCGATCAAGTATATATATTTAAAATTTGATAAATTTTTATTTAAATAAATAAAATACAAAAAAAAAACGTTTTTTTTTTTTTTTTTTTTTTTACTTTAGATGATTGGTCGTATTGAATTTGTGCATAACAAAAATTTTATTCATCGAGAGTAAAATTATAATTTTCAATTTTTTTTTTTTTTATCTTTTTTTTTTTGTTTTGTTTAGTATTAAACCGGATAATTTTCTAATGGGCATTGGTCGTCATTGTAATAAAGTTTGTTGATGAAAAAATTTTCATTGTTTTGTTTTAATACGAAATTCTTTTTTTTTTTTTTTGTTCTTATTTTAAGGTATTTTTGATTGATTTTGGATTAGCAAAAAAATATCGTGACAATCGAACTCGACAACACATTCCTTATCGAGAAGATAAAAATTTAACAGGCACAGCTCGTTATGCATCAATTAATGCTCATCTTGGTATTGAACAAAGGTTAGATAAATGAAAATAAAAATTCAATTTTTTTTTTTTTTTGAAATATTTTGTCATATCTAGTCGTCGTGATGATATGGAATCATTAGGTTATGTTTTAATGTATTTTAATCGTGGTTCATTACCATGGCAAGGTCTTAAAGCAGCAACAAAAAAACAAAAATATGAAAAAATATCTGAAAAAAAAATGTCTACACCTGTTGAAATACTTTGCAAAGTATAAATATATGGCTTTTTTTTTTTGTTTGACGAAAAAATAAAAATTTGTATTTCTTATAGGGTTTTCCAGCTGAATTTGCTATGTATTTAAATTATTGTCGTGGTCTTCGTTTTGAAGAAGCACCTGATTATATGTATTTACGTCAATTATTTCGCATTTTGTTTCGTACATTAAATCATCAATATGATTATACATTTGATTGGACTATGCTCAAACAAAAGGCAGCTAATGCAGCATCATCATCGACGGCAGCAACCGCTACAGCTGGTTTAACTACAGCTACAACTGCTGGTACGACGATGGCACCACAACAAATATCAACTACACAAATGACTACGACAAATATGATGAATACAGGCAATAATGGAGCAACGCCAGGTAAACGAGGAGGAAAAGCAGATGATGGTACTGATCCTGACGAATATGCAGCAGCAGCCACACATTCATCAAATGAACATGAATGATAAGAAAAAGTAGAGAGATACAGCCATACAATATCATTCTTAACTAACTGCCAAGACTCCGCTTTGTGCTTTTTTTTTCATTATTGCTTTTTTGTCTGTTGGTGATGGATATTAAATCATTTATCTAATTTTTATTTTATATACTTTTATTCGTATTTTATTTTGGCGTTTTTTTTTTCTTTTTTGTTTTAGACTTGCCGAAAATGAATAACAATGATTAAACGTGTAGAATAAATCACACATACATGCACAACAGCCAAAAGCAGCTGCACGTCGTGTCGTTTATCTTTCTTCTCTATCTTTCTCTCATTATCTGTACTCATTCTTGCTCTTTTTTTTTGTCTCTATCTTTCTATTTCTTTTTTTTTTTGTCTATCCTGATCGAAAGTGTAAATGCCGTCGGCCTCCTCTACTTTACTTTTTGTCTTCTATTTCTTTTTTTTTTTTTTTTTCATTCATGATTATTATGATGAACATGATCGGCAGCAGTGAATTATTTCAGAGACAGCAGCTAGACGGATGCTATATATTATGAAAACAAAACAAATAACATCAATTCATATATAGAAGAATGTCATGTATTTTCATTGAATATCGAAAAACATTTTATTTACATTTGAAAATGAAAAAGAAAACTTATTCATGATGAAATCGACAAGAATTTACTGGTTTTCTTTTTTGTTTTGCATCATTACACTTTGGTGCATTTTAAAATTGGTAATATCATATTTTATACAAAAAACAAAAAGCAGAAAATGTACTTGATTTTTTGTTTTTATAGTACAAAAATAGAATGATTTGATTACGTTTTTGTCCATTCTCTAACGAACGAAAAGAAAATAATGAATTTTGACATTATAATATTTTCAATTAATATTCTGTAAATATGAATGAATTTGAACTTTTTGGTACAATTGATGTGAAAAAAACTGAAAATAGATTTCAACAATTTCTTAGTCGTATGTATTATTATAGTCTATGTTTATACCATACAGAAAAAGTTTTCTTATATTTTACTGAATATTAATTGATATAAGCTTAATTTCAGTGTAATATATGTAATGTACAACATATTATTTAATTTGACAATTAATTACAGATAACATAAGCTTCATTTGATAAAATTAGTTTGTAGATTAAAATTGACATTTCTACTAAATATAGAGTAACTTTCTGAAATAGAATAATATGAACGATATATAACAGCTAGTAGTACTTGAAATATCATGTGAAATATATCGTTCTACAATCCTGTAGTAATCCACTCGAACACTATTTATTATTCACTTCAAACAACAACGCCGATGATTGTTGTTTGAATAACTTTTGATAAGAACGACGAAAAGTTTTGAAGTTTTTACAAATCAAGAGAGAACACTCATACTCTCATCACGTTGTGTCGAATGGTGATATTAGTTTATAAGTTTCAAAGCAATCTAAGATTACTATTTGTAAAATTTTGAAAACTTCAAAAATACTGAAATAGTGATCTTAGATTGCTTTGAAACTCAAAACAACGATCACCATTCAAATCAGCCTAATGAATTACTCATATCTGAAGTTCTTTTCAAGCTCTTAAAGGACAATTTACTGAAATTGAGGATTACAGGAAAACAATTGTAATTCTTGAATAGAAAAAGCTATGAAGGTAGAGGTTATGCAGATGGAGAGTGAAGATCTTTCTCTAGTGATTGGCTATGCTACACATCAAAACTTAGCGGGAAATGCTTTGCAAACCTTGTTTTCAAAAGCCACGTCCCAGCTCTTTGCATTGTTCCTATCAAAAGTTATTCAAAAAAAAACCACTACGGACATTTTTTTCTGAAATGGTTAATAGTACAATTATTTTTATTTTAGAACTAATGTTCTAGAATAAAAACGGATTACGTTTTCGGAATTAAGCGAGTCCAAGAATATAAAATATGATCTATTTTCATGCAAATCCATCCGATCGAACAGATCTTTCTGAAATCTACGATAAACATTTCAGAGAAAATGGATGAATCCTTCAAAAGTTATTTGACATAAAATTAGTAAAACATCCTTCAAGAAGATGTGACGAAACTTAGATTTATAAAAACAACATCGTTTGTCTTTCAACGACAAAAGAAAGTCGCTCAAGCGAAGTTTTCTTACTAAGTTATTTTAAGTTCAACAATCTTTCTTTTTCATTATCTTTGCATTTCTTTCATTGCTAGTCATAGAAAGATAATTAAAAACTAATATTTTTCTACACGAAGAAGAACCAGTATTTCCAATTAAGTATTTAGAGTATATGCGCATAGAAAGAGAGAAACAAGAAAGATTAGTTATTCGACAGTACATTCCAAATTGTACAAAATGAACTATTCATGATATATATATTCATATATCATTATAAAGAAAGAAAATTCAATCAAAGTTTATCGTTTTTATTTTTGTTATTTTTGGGAAATGATAATTCATATTCAAATGAGTTCAATAAGTATTTTACATGAACACAAGATGAGACTAAAATAGTTAGTTTTTTTTTTATTTCGATATTAAATAAAATGCGTCATATGACAACTCTTATGTGTCTTTAAAATGACTATCAGTTACTATCTCATTTCAATACAAATGGTTGTTAATGTTTATTTGCTGAAAGATGGCAAGAATAATTTATATATGAAATGGTGACATGATTTCAGGATATAGATCAAGATATTTCAACAAACTTAAAAAAAGGCTGTTAGCACAATCTCTGCGAGATTTTATAAAAGAAAACGTCATGTTGCATTTCAGATTATACATGTTCAGCGTTATGTTTTTTGAATACAAAATAAAAGATATTTGTCATTTTCAAATTTCTAATACATTGAAAACAAATTGATGTATAGATTTAAGTAACACATCTTCTTCATCTGAAGTTCCTCAGAAATCAGAAAAACTCCAATGTCTACTGCAGCTGAAAAAAAAAAACATATCAATCAAAAACAAATCATCAACAGTAGCTTCACCATGATAAAAATATATTTCCAAATATTTATTCATTCTACTAATAGTAGAATAATGCGATTAAATGAATTTCAAATTCGTGTGTTATTCTTCTTTTTCTTCTACAATAATCAATCAATGGAGTACTTAATCATCGACATTATCTACTCTAGCACATCATGGATTCAAAATTAATTCAAAAACATGTTTACAATACGGAACAATTATGTCTACAATGGGTTTGCAAAAATCTTCATCCTTTTTCGACATTAGGTTAGAGCCATATTTTCTCAAGACAAAGAACTTTTTCAATCGATTGAAACATTAATTAGGAGCTATGAAAGATAATTATTGTTTGATATATATTCATGGTGAATGATTATTTTGATGAAATACATGACTTTACTCAATCATTTATTAAATGTTTCAATTTCAATTCAATAGATTTTATGACAAACATGTTATTATTTAGACTCCTGTTGGAAGACTTGTAACATGACCCAAAACCCAATCACGAAATCCAGAAAGACGAGTATAAACACCACCACCACCACATCCAATACCCTATTTTTAACGAATGAATATTATTATTTAGTTATAAATGGAAAAAAACACTTACCCATGATGTCAAACCAGCCAAATACCAACGACCATCTGGATGCTGAACAACTAATGGACCACCTGAATCACCTTGACATGTATCTTTATTACCACCGTCACCAGCACAGATTTGAGTTGCTGTAAGTATGGTGTATCCATTATGTTTCGATATACATCTAGCATCAGTCAAAATTGGCATTGCAACTTCCATGTGAACAGTAGCAAGGCTTCCACCGGAAGATAGTGTACCCCATCCGCCAGCGATCGACGTTTTGCCAGCATAATCATAACCTTTAGGAGGAAAGCAGATTGGCAGTACGTAATCGTCAAAATCTATATCTGTATCCTAAAAAAATTTCTTCCTTTTTCAACATATCATTAATAAGAAAAAAAAGAAACTACTAACACTAATTCTGAATAGAGCAATATCATTAACAATTGTTGCTGAATTATACTGTGGATGTACAATATATTGTTTTGATACATATTCTCTAGTCCATTCATCCTATAAATTCATGTTTATTAATAATATAATTATCTATCATTTTCTTACATGCTTGTTTCGTTCATGTAGACCACAATGCCATTTGTATGAACTTGCAAGACTATTACGGGTTCTGTAATATTTTCAATTAAAATAAATAATGATTAGAATTTATTCATCATGTTTTGTACTTACACACAATGTGCTGCAGTTGCGATCCATTTACTATTAATAAGTGAGCCACCACAAATGTGACTGGTTGGATAACGCATAGAGCACTATTAATATTAATAAATTATGAATATATAAGAAAACTGAAAAGACAATGAACACTTACCGACCATGGCCAATCACCACGTACGGATGCTGTACCACCAACGATTTTATCATCATCGCTACGAGCTACTAACGGACGTTGACCACAATCATTCTTAGTCCAAGTTTGAGAACTTGCAAGACCTATTTTTTTTGTTATTTAGGAATGGATTTAATAAAAAAAAATATTTCTGCATGAAATAATAAACTTACCAACGAAAATACAGAGGAGTGCTGTAACAAGCATTGTTGTCTTATTTCTCGATGCTACTGAAGATACTAACATGGATGACAGGCTATTTATTCTTCGCAAAATTTCTTTTTTTTTTTTTTTTTTAAATCGTATAATCAATATCATGAGAGGGATGCGTGAGTGTGAGAATAAGATCAGATTGTTATTGTTTTTTTTCTGTGTATGTTTTTTTTAACAGAATATTCTCATGATGATATTGCGTTTTAAAATAAATCTTTATCGTTATTATGATGATTACTAATATCAAGGACGAATTTTTTTTTTTTTTTAGATGACGAAGTTCGTCTGGAATAATGTAGATATTATGGAGAAAAATCATTTTTGCTTTTACTTACCTTCATAAAGATTGTATATTTTTATGTCATGATTGCAATGCATTTTTATTCCAAAGACACTTCGAAACAGCAAAGTCCTTCAACTGATCAACTGTTTTCAAGTCACGAGTACGTGTATTAGATGGACTCAAAAGATCTATGAATATGCTGAAAAAAGTTCACACCTTTCACTTGTTGCTGTGGAGATACTGCAGTTTTACACAGTAGTTTCTGAAGGAATTTCGTCTTAATGGATAAACTAATTTTCAAATTTTATTTCAAAGTTTATATAGAAATAGGCCTTAATAAGAACAGTTTACGGAAAGTATTTCAGATGTTGTCGCTGTATCTATCTTAAAATACAATGATAGTAATAGCGTAGCTCTCACATCAACCAGCAGATTTCATATTCTTATTTTAGGATAGAAACAAAATCAAAAGACTTGAAATATTCACAAAATAATTTTTTCTTATTGATACTTATTTGTATGCAAACTTTCAAGTCAAACTTCGAAAATCGACTTTTCGGGTGTTTCTGCATTCATTAAACGTTTTTCTAAAAGTGCCATATCTTCGCCACAATAAGCTAACAGTACACGGTTTCAACTTGAAAACGATTTATTAATTAGAAGACTTTTTTCTTAACCGAATGAACATTTGTTTAATAAATTAACATTTAAAAGAAATTATATGGAATGATACTTTCATTAGATTTTGTTAAGTATATTTAATATCACTGTTTGAATATATGTAAGCATTGTATCGTAAAATAAATCATTCTTTGAAGTTTTTTTCAGATAGTAGATTACAACAAATAATTTTTTTTTATATCAAATTATATATATTATGATTTTCTTCCATGAAACATTTAATAATATTTATTAAAAAAAAAGTTTGTTTTAAATAAACTACTGAATAAATCAATCATCACTTTTCTTTAACTAATTAAAATTATACATCCAAATGACAAACAAATAATAATTGGTTGATTATTTTGATTTTTCTTTTATATAGTAAACTTCTTATTTCAATAGATAGACATGATTATATGAAATTATTTAATCAGAAAATCTACCTTTTTCTAAATTGGTTAGTAATGATCGAAAAAATCGATCGATTAATTTTAATTTGATAATATTAAAAAAAAAATTTCGCTCAGTTACATTCGAGTAATAATAAAAACATGATACTCGTTGGTTGGCTCAGATGTCTGAACTCAAATTCTTATGTCATTTCAATCGTGTATTTAATAAAAATAGGATTTTTCTTATAACTTAATACTATTCAATCAATAATAATGATCAATTTGTTGTTTCAGGTGTATTTATGTACTGAAAACAAGAAAATTTTAACTAACTATAAATTAATCGAGAGTTACAGATAATGTAGAATGTTTATTTCATTTACGATTTTATGGGTCAAATCTTTTGTTAGTGACGTGACTTTACAAACGATAGGCTAAAAAAATTATAGGTAGGAATCTTTGTTCAGATGAGTTGTCAGTAAAAAAAACTAGCGTTAATCGACATCAACTTTTACTGCATATATTTTAGTTTAAAAAGACTCTGAATTAGGGCAATATTTTTCAAACTAAAGAGTACATTCTATAGACATCTCCTGAGACTGCAAAGTTTGTATCCAAAACTTTTTTCTGAGCATGCCTAGGTTTTTGAAAAAAAAATCGATTAACTTTTGGTTAGTAACATGATGGAGTACGTATATGCAAACGAAAAATATTCTTGTAAAAGAATGAGAAGTTCAAAACCAATGCGTGACAGTAATAATCCTTCTTTAGCACCTCCAGATGATGGTAAGAGAGAAGTTTTTGTTGCGGCATTTGATAGGATTGGTAGAAACCAGTTCTCAGACGAAGTTTCTTCGAGTTCTATTTTGCTGAAAAGTTGCCCATAGTAGTGGTTTGTGCATTAGAGTCTATTCTGAAGTTGTGGGGATGTTTTTCCTCAAGTTAGAGAGATACTGGTTAATTAATTTTCTTTTTTTCTTTTTAACAGTCAGTTGAAAGAGCCAAAATTTTTATATATGTCTATGGTAAAAGTACTTAATCAGAAAAGTAAGTCTGGTAACCAATCAAAGTTAGATGAAGAGTGAATGTTTTTCATTGTGCTTAAATCGTGAATATATGAGTTTTTGTATCATTACCAATTTCATTTATAAACTAGATTTTGTAAAATCTTTTGAGTATGTAGCTGAGACAATACAAAAAATTATATTTAAATTAACTAAACACGTCTACATGTTAAAAAACAAAAAGAAAAAAAGCATTTTTCTATTTAAGAAAATAATGATAAACTCTGTTTGCATCCATTTATTGAATTGATATACTTTTCGTATATACTAATACAATTATCAATAAATTAAACATGTGTTAATCTAAAAACGAGACAATGGATTTTCATAATATTTTATAGAAATAGCTTTGGAATACGGATGCAAATAGTTTATAATAAGACTTCAATAGTCAATCAAATAGTTTTTAAATATATTTTATATAACAATAAAAACTCTTTTAATGACAATGATTTTCACGTTGTATATATTTTTTAAGCTTCCTAATCATTTGTATTATCTTAGAGAATTCTACAGAAACAAACAACTCTTAAGATATAAGACAACTTGATAGTCAACGAACTTTATGTATTCTCTTTAGCTTCTAATTCATACATGTGTTCAAATACAACCATATATATCGATAAATCTATGCTATTGGCAGTTTAAATCAAATAAAACTTTGTTTTTTGTAATATCATAACATCAGACATCAATAGTAATAAATCAAAAATTTGTTCTAAAAAACAATTAAAACTAAAAGTATGTTGAATAACACCTTTAAAAGACTGTAATCGAAACAGTTGGAGATTGATTCATAGCTATGGTTGTTTGTCGAATGCTGTGAAAATTAAAGAATGTATGTAAATCCTTCTCGTCCCACCTTGGGACAATTGCACAGCCGTTGCTATTTTTGTGTATATTTTTAGATTTCATAGAAGAAAAGAATAAACTTTGAATGTAGTTTGATTTTTCAAGGCTGATACAGGCGGGTACACAAGAAGAATATTTCTACCGACTCGTCTTACTTTGTTTTTTTCCATTTCTCAAACAAAATGACGTAATACCTGTATTAAATATTTATACCAAAACGTTCTATACTAACAAACTTGTTTTGCTCTTGATCAAATAAGACTTACTTCTATTTAAGTTCTTTTTTTCATTTCTTATTCTTTTAATGCTTGTTATTCTTCAAGGCTGATATAAGAATGTTTAAGTTTTTACTATTTAGCAGTATTTCAGATTTGTTTCTATGTTAATGATCATACATGTGATACCAAAAAAAAAAAAGATATAATCAATATAGTAGAGTATATAAACAAACACATCCCAATGTTATCAATATCAACCAATCATTCATTAAGCTTATCTATTAAATTCGTTGACATTTATACTGTGCTTTTGTATTATATAAGATTAAAAAACAGAGGTCTCAACAGACATGACAACATCGAATCAGCTCGATCGCGTTCAAAGTTTTCTATTCAAAAAGTTTCGGTCATATTCTAGGTCATTGGTTTTGACTTTCCAATCCGGCTGCATTCGCCGACTTTTCAGCATGTTTTCTGCAATATTCAGTCAGAATAAACGAAGAACTTGGAAGCAGTATTCCACATCGGAAAGCCATCGTATCGAAAATGCTGATATTTGTAGGTTATTCCGAAACAGGAAATCTGTCGGTACCAGCCCGAATCGCATCGGAAAGTACAGGAAGCCGTGAGACACTCACCGGAACAATAAAAGGATCCTGCCAGGAACAATACGGAACTCATTTTTCCAACTGCAATCTATTGTTTACTTATTCAACTTCAGCAAGAACCGGTTTTACCTGAAAAGTTTCCGGTCCGTTTCCTGCTGGATCTGTTTAGTTTCTTGCAGAGACTGACTAGAGAAAGCTATAAACTTGGAAGAAATATTCCGAACTCCAAAGTTACTGTACCCAACAAAATGGTTTGACTTCAATACACCGACATCGCAAACAGAAATAAATTCGTCAGATTCTTACCGGAAGGTCTTTGGGGATCGTAGAAAACTCAGCTGAACAACAGAAACATCCACTCGGAAACGCCATGGAATCACTGACATCTAACTGAATGATTCGGCATAGAGTGAGTCGAAGCATCCACTATATTCTGACATCGTAATACCCACTTTAGAATAAGCAGCTACGCCACACAAAACAGTTCGTACAAATCATTTAACTATTATCATTGAAGCGTCACAAAAACAGAGCAAACTCCACGGTTTTCTTGACACCTGCCTAGTCTATCAATACATTGAACTCGATATAATAATCATAAAAACGATTATTTATGACCATCTTCCATGGTAGTCTCGTTACTTACTTCGGAATATGCTCACTCTCGGATTAGAAGATGCAAGAAGATGATTTACAACGCGTAGAGAAGACAAGAGTGAGAGGGGAAACTAAACAATCTGGGCTGTGAGAACGACTGGATAGATCCAGTTATCCTTGGTCACTATAAACGAAAGTATGTTTAGGCTGAATACGTGCCGGAAACAACCGAAAGCAAGCCAAAACCTGTCACAAAAATCTATTTCGGATCTAGTCGTTGAATTTGAAGGGAAACAAGATGAATCTGACCGTTTCGTGATGTATTTGCTTCACCTGAATTTCAGTTGAATGCAAATATATACTGAAGAAATATTTCTTTCTCTTCATCAAATGATTAAATAGATTTATAGATTCCCACTTGGTATTCACAAACGAATTCTTTATCTGTTGCTGTGCGCTTTTTTGGGTACAACTCCATCTTCAAGTAACATTCGTCGTCCATTCATATCAATTATTGAACAGATCTATACAATTTATCATTTGGGTACACCATTCAATTTAGATAATGAAAAAGAAAACTTTGAAAATATTTTAATGCATATTC